TAAATAAATAAAGCTAATACTGGGACAGTTTAACAGGGGTTATTGCCGTCTGGTCTCTTGAATTTCTGTATCATTGCTACATTACTATATTAAGACTATAAATAAATTTGATTCTGCCTGGAGATTTAATTAAACAACATTTACACAGGTGGAGAGTGCAACATTGACCTCAGTCATCCTGAACCAAGACAAACGCACCCAAATGTGCCACAGTAACACATGGCTATGAGCCATTTCTAGACTACTTGTCCCAAAAGATACATCTTGGCAGATGGATATAAATATGAAATCTTAGATTAATATTTTTTAAAAAGCAAGTATATGCATTAAAGGAAAGGGAGAATCTGGTTTGGCAGATATTCACATGGCAAAGAGATCAGAAGACTTCATGAACTTCATAAACTTCAATAAAAGCCAACAAAATTATGTATCTAAGAGATAATGTGGCTCATGAGACAGAAGGCCCAGTTCTTTTCCTAGTTTTATCTGGACTGGATTTCACTTGCAAACTTTGGTTTCTTATGTGCAAAGTGACAGAATAGAGATACTGTTGCCCATTCCCACCTTCAGGACTTGGAAGAAAAAACAATTATGACTATAAAGGTGCTTTGAAAATCATGATTTTTTATTTTTTTTATTTTTTTTAATTCTTTTTTTTTTTTAAGAGAGAGAGAGAATTTTTAATATTCATTGTTCTAGTTCTTGGCGGACACAACATCTTTGTTGGTATGTGGTGCTGAGGATCGAACCCAGGCCGCACACATGCCAGACGAGCACGCTACCGCTTGAGCCACATCCCCAGCCAAAAAATCATGATTTTTTTAAATCTGGCTATTAATATTATGAAGACATTCATTTATGTTTCTACCCAAAAAAGGTGGGGGGTAATAATTAACAGTGTTTAAAAGGATAAATTCTAAACTGCTACGCAGATGTGTCTCAGAGGAGCACCAAGATTGGCACCTCCTGTTAAAACTGCCTTTTCCATCAACACTGCCCTTCCCATTATTTGCATTTTTATACCTCTTCATCTACATGTGGATAATTCTTTAAATTTKAATCTGTAAAAGCTTCCAGGCATGGAGGCACAGGCCTATAATCCCACCAACTCAGGTGGTTGAGGTAGGAGGACCACAAGTTTGAGGCCAGTCTCAGCAATTTAGCAAAGCCCTAAGCAACTTAGCAAGATCCTGTCTCAAAATTAAAAAAGGGCTAGGGATGTAGCTCAGTGGTCAATCACTCCTGGGTTCAATCCCCAGTACCTAAAAACAACAGCTAATGTAATCACTGACAGCATAAATATAGAAGAAAGAATTCTCAACCTTTAAGGTGACACTCAGGTTCCATGCAGACTTAACTGATCAAAATTTCTGGATGGAAGAGAGTAAATAAAAAAAACCCAAGTCATTTATAATTTAACAAGTTCCCAAAGTGCTTCCAGTGACTTTCTTATTGCAATTACTACAACATTGTAATTAATATTAGCTCAATATTATCATGTATCACCCACTAAGTATATGCTAGTCACTGTCCTAGCACCTTACATGTATTACTTATATGATCTTTACAACCATGTAAGTATGTGCTACTGTAAACACTGCCCTCCCCTCACCCTCACTTTTATAGATGAAGACAATAAAATAGAAAGAAATTACTTAATTGGCCCAAAGTCACAAGACTAATGTGGCAAAGTTTGAAAATTGTTGATCTAGTTTCCTACACTAGGAAAAYTGTACAGTCAGTCATGGTGATGCACACTGTAATCCCAGATACTTGGAGGTTGAAGCAGAAAGACTGCAAGTTCAAGGCCAGTCTCAGCAATTTAGCAAGACCCTCCACAACTTAGCAAGACCCTGTCTCAAATTAAAAAATAAAAAGAACTGGGAATGTGGCTTGATGGCAGAGTATCCCCGGGTTAGATCCTTAGTAACAAAGAAAAAAAAAAGAAAAGAAAGAAAGAAAACAGTTGTATGTAAACTCTGGTCAGATCATATTGAAATCTGTTTTCTTTTAAAAACAGAGTTGCCCAAAGAAGCACAGTGAGCCCCTACTAAACTAGAAGAGCACCTGGGAAAGTAGCTCAGTGATACAGCACATGCTTAACCTGTGGTACAAGGCCCTGAATTCAATCCACAGCACCAAACAAATAAACCTGCAAGGGACAAACAACCTAAGGCTGTTTGCAGGTGTCCAATAAAATTGCCATCAATTCATGCTGTAGTTGTCTCCCCTCCTAGCCCAAGAGCCCTGAAGTGCAGGAACCATGTATRTATGCCTCTTGGTACCTGGGGCCTACCTGAAGGACTTAGTAAATAATCTAACCAATAAATCTAGATAAATCCTGATGGCTATCCTGGGAAATACGAAGGGCTATTGTGTAAAAAAAGAAACTTAATTTATGTTACTTCGCGGGAACAATTCATGTCAACATGTAAAAGGGGAAGACCAGATTCTAGAACAGTCTAAAAACATGTCTGGCGATCAAGGCTCTACAAGAATAGAGCAGCATGCCTGAGGTTTGAGACTGAATGTAGCAGGAATATGGTAGAATGTTGGATTATGGTGCCTCTAAGAGCTCTTCTTCCAAGATACAAATCCTATTAGTCTACATTCCAAGGTATTTGTTTATCCTTTTATATAATCAGCAATTTCCACTAGGTATAAAAGTCACATTAGTAAGTTACCATGGATACCATAATGTGTTCTATAAACTTCCTGTGCTTTCAAGGACCCAGAGAAGAGTGCATGTCCACAAGTAAACCTGAGCAAGGAGGAAGGTGACTATATGACAGGAAACAGCAAGGGGTGAGACTTTCAGGCAAGAATAGTCGGAGCATAAAGTGGGCAGGAAAGCCCTGGGATGGTGAAGACCCAGCTATAAAAAAATCAGTAACTCTGGTGCTGTAGAGGTCACTTAGTCTAATATCTATATACACTTCATGGATGATGCTCTCCTGGCATTGAGAAAAGAAAGCTTAGTTCATTTTTTAAATTATAATTTATAAATCAAAAAATTATATCATCAATGCTTTCTTTGCTTAGTTTTTGTTTTTATATTTAAGACTAACAGATCCTTCACTTTTTTCAAGGAAATCTTTTAAATGATTCTGCTTTTAAACATGTTTTACTACTGTCTACTATTTTAACTGTTTAATTTGACAACTGAACATTCAGTTATCACAATTGATAGCTATTAAAACTCAGATCTGGGGGGGCGGGGGGGGGGGAACAACTCTGAGCCTAACATTGACCTTTAAATGATTGAGATCCACCGATARTACTATAAAATTAAAAGTATTATATTTAAAAGTAATTTTAAGTAGAATATTATTATAAAAACACAATTCCTAAGGCCAGAATTGACATCAACAAATAGAATCTCAATGTATCTCATCCAACTTGTAAATCATGACACCGAAGCCAAGCATGGTAACATGAACCTATAATCCCAGAGACTTGRGAGGCTGAGGCAGGAAGAGGATCACAAATTCAAGGTCAGATTCAGACTCTAAACAACTTAGCTAGACCCTGTCTCAAAAGATAAAAAGGGTTAGGGATGAAGCTCAGGGGTAAAACACCCCTGGGTTCAATTCCTAGTACCAAAACAAAAGCAAAGAAGCAAAACTTAATTAATAGAAGACTGAAGCAAAAAAAGAAAAAAAAAAATCTAAATCCAAAACCAAACAAAATATAACACATTTCAGTAATAAACTTCTTTTAGCCAGTCATTTCTCATCATCCATGTAAACTATTTTAAGGATCTGAAATCTTCCTCTATAAAAAGCAAGTTCCCATCATCTGAACTACACTTACATTCTACTGAAGAAGTTTCCAAAGCACAACACATGAAGCTTCAGATTTTTGCTTCCTTATCTACTGCACATAAATAAGGTTGAATCTGTGGGTTAATTCAAAAGCCTGACACAGTAGGAGATCTAGGGTTTGGGTTCTAACACAAATTTATGTTGTAAACTTTGCAAAAAACCTTTTCTGTACTTGCCACATCAACTGTAACATACAGTATGTGACATCACCACTAATAAAAGTCTCTTTGAAGGAGTTCTGACTGACTAACCTTAGCTGGGAGAATTAAAAACGATGGCTGAAAACTCCTTGATAAAAATTAAAACTTTATAAACCTAAGAAGCAGTGTTACAAGTTAGCACATAATAAACAATGACTTACAGAAAATGAGATTTGAGTAACTGCTACAAAGGTGCAATTAGACAACTTTACAAAAATGAGTAAGCAAACAGCTCATCAAATTTTAAAAATTTTCCTAGCAAATGGAGAAGATAAATAATATTCCRTACTCTGGGGCACTGTGTTATTTTCCTTATCTGGATGGTCTCTGCATCAATGTTACTATTCTTCTAAACCTCTTGATGAGTAAATGGACTGGGACTGTCTAAGATCCCTTATAGGAAAAGTTCAGTAAATATCACGAATACCGAATAATAGTAATAAAAATACAATTCCTAAGGCCAGAATTGACATCAGACTGGGACACCTGAATATGGTGCAAGGTACATGGCACATGCAACTGTTTCTCACTTCTGTCTCTTCTGCATCACTGCCTCCCAAAGGACTATAGAACCCGAAGCTCTCGTTGCCACATCTACAAATTAAAGTATCATGTTTAAAGAGCTYACGGGTTCTAAGAACAGGTCAGTATTTAATGAAGGAAYCAAGCTACACAGAAATTTACCCGATGGAACACAACATGCTTTATAAGACTCCACTTAATTATGTGKTTTTTTTTAATTTCGGAAATAAACACAACTCTTCTTTAAATATTATGTAATAAGTTAGACTCTGGAAAACCCCATACTCATCCGAGAAGCTCAGAAAAAAAAAAAAAAAATGGAAAGCAAAATTCGATTAGCTCCATTGTACCCAACCAGGCTAACGTGCAAGATCACACACTCATCTTCGTCAGAGCGTCTCTGCCAATACCAAAGAACAACAAAGGCAAGTTGAGGAGGCTGTTCAGGCTTAACTCAGCACTTGTCCGCTTTCCCAGCTTCGGAAAGAAGCTGTCGGAGGGCCCCCCCGAGACCACGGGGACCCTCCGCTTTGCTCCCGGCGGGCTGCTCAGCTCCGCGCCGCTCCTTCAGCTTTTGTCTGGCCCGGCCGCGAGCCCGGCCGCTCGCCTCCCCGGGACCCTTCCCTCTGGATCTTTCTCCACACCCATCACTCGCCGATGACTAGTTGCTGTAGGTTTCTCTCCCGAGCCCCGTGCCCTCGCAATCCCGAGCTCCTTTCCCCGGCGACCCGAATCGAGTTGGCTTCTCCCCCCGGGGCCGGCGGACTCGGGTCAGGAAGGGGGCCCGGGGTGGAGTCTGAGAGAGAGAAAGTGAGAGGGGCACACAAAGCCCGGCTGACCCCAGCGCCGCCCGCCCGCCCTCTGCAAAGAAGCCTGGGATCAGCAACCTCCTGGTAGGATCCACCGCCCTCACATCCCGCTCCTCACCCGGCTCCCACTTAAGGGCCGCCCCCTCCCCCCAAAGTGCACCCAAGAGTGGATGACAGCGCTGGACATCGCCCCCACCCAGACCCGGCGCCCGCCGCCGCGGGGGAGGGACCGGGGGCCTCGGGACGACTCGGGTCTAAACCTCCTCGCCCTAACCCGGTACTTACAATCCTATTATTCGCTACTGTTTGCCGCTGCGGACCGGACAGCCGCCGCCTTCTCCTCCACCCCAATGAGGTTAAGCGCTTGGTGCGGGGATTAAAAAAAAAAAAAAAAAAGAAAAAAGAAAAAAAAAAAAAAGGAGCAAGAGAAGCTCACAGCGCCTGCGCAGTGCAGTCTCTCTTTTTCCCTTTACCGCCACCGACCGGGCTGGACCATAGAGAGTGTAAATCGAGACCAGAGAGGTGGCTGCCTCTCTATGGTAACGCCCCGCGCAGGCGCCGGCCTGGCTGCGTTGAGCTTCGGGAGCTGGCAATCTCGGGAGGTTTGCCTCCACGGAAAACGTTAGTTGACGCTAATGGGGACCCGTAGGGTAAAGGTTAAGGAAAGGGTAGCCCGCGTGTAGTACTCAGCTTGGAGAGTTGCGGCAAAACTCGGGCAAGATAAAAGGACGGACCTAAGCAACACACACCAGAAAGCAAGGAGAGTGATAGGAAGAGCTAGAGAGGAGTCAAGAGAGCGTGGATTAAAGTCGTCCGGCCGGAACTTCCTTTGGCTGGGGGAGGGGGGGTCTAATACCTGAGGAAACAGTGTTTCACTTCTGGGTTACGGGCGCCCCATCCCCATCGGGCGACTTTCATGAAGGAAATTGTGCCCTGTGACTGCCCGTAGCGAGGCAGAGCGTCGCTTTCCCGAGGTGGCGCGGACGCTTATCCCGGAAGCATAACTTTTGAACAGTTCTTTGCTGTTTTAGGAGCAGAGCCGCCCCCGTGGAGGCTTCGGGGACTCTTGAGTCAACCTCAGAAAAGCTTTTTTTACTTATACGACTGCCAAAATAATGCCGCTTCTGCCCTTCCTGGCGCGTTACCCTCGGATGAAATGTGGGAAAGAGAGTGGAGGGTGGAAAGCTATGCAAATTATAGGGCTGCCTTCAAGGATCCTGAAGGACCCACGGTTCTGCCTTGTAAAGCTTCTGTGCTCGCCGGTAATTTGACTTTGAAAGTTTTTGTGATGGGAACCCACACTGCTTCGTGAAAATCACTCTTAAGAATGATGTTCAATGCACGGATTCTTCTGGGACCTCCTTAGTGCCGAGCTCCATGCTGCTGGCGTGTGAATGGGTTGAGAGAATGGTACCGGAGAACAGTTGAGATAATGCTTTCTGGTCCCCAGAGATATAGGAGTCCTGATCGGAGGGGCTAAGCTAAAACAATGCTAGGTGTGGGTCTTGTGCAGAAAAGTTAAGATAACTGTGGTTTGAAGGAGTAAGAAAAACAGGATACAGTTCCTGGTTGAATTTAGAAAGGAACGAAAACACAAGTAATTTTTAAAATATGGTTAGGTGAGAATGAAAGAACATTCCAGAGAAGAAACACCATGAGTTAAGGCTAAAGAGGAATTGGTTGGTATGTGGGAGTATAACTAATGTGTAGTCTACCTGAAATGGGGAGAAGGGGGGAAAGGGGTGATGCAAAGTAAGGTTTGATAAGTAGAATGGCAAATAATTGTTTTTTTTATTTAATATTTTTTAAATTTTTTTATTGGTTGTTCACAACATTACAAAGCTCTTGACATATCATATTTCATAAATTAGATTCAAGTGGGTTATGAACTCCCAATTTTTACCCCAAATGCAGATTGCAGAATCACGTGGGTTACACATCCACAATTTTACATAATGCCCTATTAGTAACTGTTGTATTCTGCTACCTTTCCTATCCTCTACTATGCCCCCTCCCCTTCCCTCCCATCTTCTCTCTCTACCCCATCTACTGTAATTCATTTCTCTCCTTGTTTATTTTCCCATTCCCCTCACAACCTCTTATATGTAATTTTGTATAGCAATGAGGGTCTCCCTTCATTTCCATGCAATTTCCCTTTTCTCTCCCTTTCCCTCCCATCTCATGTCTCTRTTTAATGTTAATCTTTTCTTCCTGCTCTTCCTCCCTGCTCTATTCATAGTTGCTCTCATTATATCAAAGAAGACATTTGGTATTTGTTTTTTAGGGATTGGCTAGCTTCACTAAGCATAATCTGCTCTAGTGCCATCTATTTCCCTGCAGATTCCATGATTTTGTCATTTTTTAGTGCTGAGTAATACTCCAATTGTTTGTTTTTTATACACCTAACAAAGTTTACCATCCTAATCACTTTTCATATAGTTCAGTAGCATTAAATAAGTTTACATTGTTGTGCAGCCAATCACTAGCATGCTTTTTGTCTTGCAAAACCGGCTCCAAAATCATTAAACAGCTATCTTCTGTTGCCTCTCTATCCTCAGCCCTGATAACCACTATTCTACAGTGTTGTGAATTTAACCTCTCTAGGTACTTCATGAAAGTGTAATAATACAGTGTTGGTCTTTTTGTGACTAGCTCATTTCACATAGCATCATTTCCTCAAGATTATCCCTGTTGGCTTGTTGTGGTGGCACACACCTGTAATCCCAGCAACTCAGGAGTCTGAGGCAGGAGGATTGAAAGGTCAAGTCCATCCTTGGCAACATAGCAAGAGTGTATCAAAGTAAAAAAGGGTCGGGGAGGGCTGGGGTTGTGGCTCAGTGGTAGAGTGCTGGCCTAGCATGGAGGAGCCACTGGGTTCAATCCTCAGCACCACATAAATGTAAAATAAAGATATTGTGTCCACCTAAAACTAAAAAATGAATATTTTTTAAAAGGGTGGGAGATATAGTTACATTCCCTAAAAGAACTCGGGTTTAATTACCCTGGGTCCATCCCCGGTATATTTATTTTTATGTGGTGCTGGGGATCGAACCCAGTGCTTCATGCAATGCTAGGCAAGCGCTCTACCACTGAGCCGCAACCTCAGCCCTGCTTTCACCTTTTTGCTATTATGAATAATGCTGTTGTGAACATGGGCATACCCTTATTTCTTTAAGACCTTGCTTTTGAATAGAATGGGAAAGATTTGGAAACCAAGTAGAGAAATCCATAGTTGATAGTACTGGTTTATATCCTTGACTAGGGTTAGTAACATTGGTAATGAATAAGTTTTTGTTGTGTTTTGTTTTGTTTGAACCACTAGGACTCTAACCCAGTGCCTCCTGATTGCTAAGTAACTATTCTTAACACTGAGCTAAACCCCCAATCCAAAGAACTGTATTAGAAAGTGATTTTCCCCTCAAAGTTGACTATATACCCTCACTTAGATAAAGCATTTATGGAGGCCTTTTCTTTACTAGGCATTATATACTACTGCTTTCTGTAAATTATTAMTATATCTTTGAATGCATCAAGATCACGTGAGCCAATTGTTATTCACCCCATTTTACAAGTGAGAAAATCAAGGCTTTGTTACATATGGGCTGAGGGAAGGCTCACCAACCACACATATACACAAGGGAGGAGGAAAGAAAATTGCCATGGGAGCTAGGCACCTGTGGGACCTGACAGTTCACTGCTTTGGAAAGGATATTGGGGAGAAAAAAATCACACTTAAGAGTGACTTTTCTTAAGAAAGAATAGACTGACATCAAAAGCTTTYGCTGTCTGTATAAAGCTCCACACAACAAAAGTGCATCTTTTACATTCCCTAAAAGAACCCTGGGTTTAATTACAGGTCTGCTTTTTGCCTTTAATAAATATAAAAAGGCTAGGTAGGAATACCTTTGTATATAATAGAGAAATTAATGGGACACATCCTTTCCTACTCAACACTTCATCTTTTATTTTATATTCTCAAAAATACTGTTTGGGGCTGGGGTTGTGGCTCAGCGGTAGAGCACTCACCTAGCAAGTGTTAAGGCCCTGGGTTCGATCCTCAGCACCACATAAAAATAAAGAAACTAAAAGTATTGTTTCCAACTTAAAAAAATAAAAATATTTTTTAAAATACTGTAAGGGAGGCTGAGACAGGAGTACTGACCAGATGGCAACAGTGACAGGGAAATCTGAGACAGGAGGATTGCAAGTTTGAGGCCAGCCTCAACAATTGAGGGAAGCCCTAAGCAATTTAGTGAGACAGTGTATCAAAATAAAAATTTAAAAAGGCTGGGGAATGTGGCTCAGTGGTAAAGCACTTTGGGGTTCAGTCCCCCATGGCAGGGTGAGGGAGTGTGTGGAGAGGGTGGATTCATGAAGTCTTTGGACAGGTAAGGAAACTGAGACACTGAGGAAAAATTCTTTGTCCAGTGAACCTGAGCCTCCAGAATTCCTACTCTTCTTTGGTCCCCCTTTGAGAGACAGTAAAATGCCTTATTAGTCTGTGTGAATGGAYGGTGTTTCTATTTTCAGTCTCGCCTTCCTTAGGGATGCATGCCCAACTCTGATGAAGCTAATGCTAATTTAAAAAGGAAGTACAGAATATAAGTGCATTGCAAACACCATTCATACTCTCAAAAATATTGTGTACAAACTATGTGCCAAACCTTTAGCAAAGCAGGGAAAAGTCCCTGATCTCATCAAGAAAATATTTTTGAAAGTAATGAATAAAATATATGACAGCTAGGATAAGTGTTGCAGGAAAAAATGAAACAGGCACAAATAGGAAGGTAATTAATGAGGTTTGGGGTTAAATTCATCAGGGGGACCCTATTGAGAAGGGAAGCTTATTCACAAAAAGGAAGTGAAGGAACAAAAAAATACCTTGTTGGGGAAAAAGAGCATTCAGGGAGAACAATAGCAAATGCAGAATTGTTCTACAGCAGGAGACACCTCCTGCATT